TGGACAACGCACGCCACAGCACCACTGCCCAGGAGACTAATTCGTCAAGAGACTCTGCCCCGAATCACACTACGGCGACACAAACGACAACCCAGGTCCTGGAACAAACTATCAGGACTGCGGTCATACCAGCAGACAGAGAACCACCTTCACCCTCTGGCCCAAGAACCAATCACTTGATTGAAACCACCCAAGAGGCATTACAGACATCCACAGAAGAGACCACCACAGAAGCACCTCCTGGACATGAGGAGCGGGAGATACTTGCCCCAAATGCTCAGGAGGATTGGGCGACACCAGCGACCCAACAAGACGGTACACCGCAAGCTTCGGCCTCCGTGATCGACCCGCGACTCGGGGCGACCGAAGAGTCCTTTCCCCATGGCCAAGTTCCGGAGGACAACCAAGCCCAGCAATCGGTATACCCGCTAGATGGGATAGAGGGGAATCTTACCATGCCGGAAACAGATACCTGGTTGGATGAGATCTTCAACGATGAAGAGAACACGTGGATGCCCGATACGGTCCAGGATGAGTCGTCACCAGCCACATCTGTAGCCAACGAACCGCACTCAGCGACGAGAAAGATTTTCAAGGGGTGTAAGTGTCCTGAACACCAACACATTTATGACGACTGGCCGACGCACGATGCTGAGCTCACTATCGCAAAATGTATGACAATATGCGTGTACTGTGGGATGGATTGCCACAGACCACCGTCATTACGCATGCATTTGAAGAGGGACAAACACGCCCGAAACAATATAAGCGTCGTACGGGAAACAATGGGAAAGGGGAGCTCCACTACTCCCTCTTGGACATTCAAACCGCGCAAAGAAAACACCCATCATGGTCGAAGTACCCGGAGCCAGACAACCACAAATAGTGCCGACGCCAGAATCCAGCTATGGTAGAGCACTCGGAGCTTCACATCTTACAGTACAATGTTCAGAAATCCAGAGACGTCGTCCTCGCCCGTTTGTTCCAAGACCGGTGGATCACCACATACGATGTGCTGGCAACTCAAGAGCCCTGGCGGAATCCGTTCGTCAATACCTCTTACCACCCCCTGAAGACACATTTCCGACTGCTCTACATGAACGACAAGGAAACAAGAGCATGCCTTTACATCAACAAACGAATCGATGTCAGCACGTGGAACGTATCATTTATTACCAAGGATATCGTTGCTTTGGAGATTAGTCATCCCACACTACATCACAAACTATCCATCATCAACGTATACAATGAGGTAGGGAGCAGTACCCTTTCCGACTTGAGGGACTCTATCGCTGGACTGGGTTCTGACCATGAAATCATATTGCTTGGAGACTTCAACCTACACCATCCTCTCTGGTCCGCAATAGGTCACCCTACTCGTGGGATCGGAGCCTCGCAACCTCTCCTCGCAATCATCGAAGACTTCCAGCTCCGACTGCTCACCGTACCAGGCACTACCACTCACAGATGGAAGGATGGGGAAACGACGATCGATCTGACATTTGGCAGCGAGGGCGTGGCGTCCCGTACGATCTACTGCCGAGTGGACACCAGTCGAGACTGTGATTCTGACCATCTTCCAGGTGCCACGGCCATCGCGTGGGACTGGTTACAAGCCAAGCCGACCAAGAAGCGTGTGTGGGCGAAAACCAACCAGTCGACACTTCGGCATACGGTTACCGAGAAACTTCCCAGGGCACCGAACGCGGTGGAACTGGGGAATGAAGGCGACATCGATCGGTATGTCGGCTTGATCATCAATGCTCTCTGCGCCGGGATCGACGCCTCGACTCCCTGGTCTGACCCATCGCCACGCTCCATACCGGGATTTGGTCCGGAATGCAAAGACATCTGCCGTGAGGTTCAACAATTACGCCGACTGTGGCAACGGACGAGGTCTGATAAACACTACGAGGCATACCGACAAGCACGCAACAAAAAGGGACGACACATCCAGAGGCTTCTCCGGAACACCCACCGGCAGAGAGTGGAGGAATCCTCTAGCTCAGACTCGGGCCTGTGGAAACTAGTCAAATGGGCAAAGAACAGACATGATGTGGCGCCCACGTGCACACCAACGCTCAAGAAGCCCGAAGGTGGACTTGCTCGCCAGGCTCAGGAAAAGGCGGAGGCTTTACGCCAAGCCTTCTTCCCACCACCACTGAGCGCCGACCTGACAGACATCGACGGATTTGAATACCCGACGCCGTTTGAATGCCCGGAGATTACACCCTCTGAGATTGAAATGGCGATTCGAAAAGCGGCACCGAACAAGATGCCCGGCACAGATGACATTCCCAACAACATCCTCCACCAGACACTAGACCTCATCCTGCCTCACCTCCACAGGCTCTTCAGTGCCTGTCTCTTGCAGGGGTACTGCCCGACACATTTCAGACAAAGTATCACGGTCGTTCTTCGGAAATCGGGAAAGGATGACTACACACAGCCAAAGTCATACCGGCCAATCGCCCTTCTCAACACACTGGGCAAAGCGTTGGAGGCTATCGTCGCCGCCCGGCTGAACTACCTGGCCGACACGCATCACCTCCTCCCCAGTCGACATACGGGAGGGCGAAAGCTGGCATCGACAGATCACGCTCTCCACCTCCTTCTCCAGCGCATATATCGGGCGTGGGCGGAAGGTAAGGTAGCTTCACTCCTCCTCCAGGACGTGTCGGGAGCCTTTGATAATGTGTCTCGACCGAGACTGTTGCACAACCTCAGGAAACGAGGTGTCGATCCTACACTCGTACGATGGATTGACTCTTTCCTGAGCGACCGGTCTACGACCCTCAAGCTTCAAGAATACACAGCCCCGTCAACACCCATCGAAACTGGAATACCTCAGGGAGTTGTTTCTGAACAGCACGTGACGAGGTAGCGTGTATGCCCACCAGGCATACACGCCAAGATGGAGTCTATGGCTTGGCTGCCTAGATAGGCAGACGAAGCCTACAAGTATATAAGTACCTAGAAGCTCATAGGTTAATAGGATACACTTGAAGAATCACATTTACAAGTCCTTGCGCCAGGCCTGCATAGGGCAGCGGAGCGACCTCTGTCTCGAATCCATCGAACTGGATGCTCGCCATTCGGTCTCGCATAAAACTTTGTATCCACTTCCTCGCTGGTGTCGGAATTCCGCGTTCCAAGAGGCGCGCATCCAGCGTAGAGTCATGTACCCCATTGAATGCGCCTTTCAGGTCAAACGCAACCAGCGTGACAACCTTAGACCTAAGCCATGCTTGATCGATTGAATTGGCCAGGACCAGTAAGTCCTGTTCCGTCGTCCGACCTGGCCGGCCCCCAAACTGTGTGTCCGGGAGCAAACGATATGCCTCCGCGTAAAAGGACAGCCGGCGTGCGATTACTGCTTGAAGCAGCTTGCCCAGCGTGTTGAGGAGCGAGATGGGTCGGTATGCATTGGGGGTGGTGTAGTCGGGTTTTCCCGGTTTTCTCAGAACCACAATCTTGGCTGTCTTCCATTGTTGAGGGTAGTGTCCCAGGTGGACCGACGCTGTGAAGATTCGGGCCACGACCTCGGCGACATATGGCCACAGGTGCCACCATACCAACATGGGCAGTCCGTCTGCACCGGGTGCCGTCCGCTTCTTGGCCAGTTTGAGCGCCTTAGTAATCTCCATTTCCGTAAGGGGCTCCCATGAAATTTCTCTCGGCGGGACGATGATCTCGGGTGGGGGCTGCTCAGTCGAAGGAAAGAAGGTCTCCATGAGTAGCTGCGCTTTTTTAGGGTTGTCCGCGACCTCATTATCTCCATGTTGAGAGGTGGGATATTCGCATAATCGTCCCGTCGCTGCAGGTATGGTGTAGCCCGCCACACCGTCCGGGAATTGGCTTGGTCCAGGAAGTCTTTCCAGTGCGCCGCCTTGACCTTTTCGATCGTGCGAGTCCACGCCCGCCGTTTGATTCGCATCTCGCAAAACACTGCCTGTGTCCTTGGATGGTGAGGGCCATCCGTCGCACATCCTTTCTGCCATTGTCTTCGAAGTCTGTTGACCCCTTTTTGCTGCGCCTTGAGCTCGGGCGTGAACCACCGTTTCGAATATGGACTTGGCCTGACAACTGGAGTGAACTGGTCAACTGCTGCTGTAGCGGTGGCGACAAGGTTCTTCGCTATCCTCTCAAGTTGGTCTTTGGTCTCAATTCGCTGTGTGTCCATCATTTCTCTTTGAACCTTAACCCCAATTGTGGCCCATTCAGCCCTTTCGTAGGCTTTACGGGGAGGCCGCTCCGGGCGTTGTTGAGGCCGCATGTCCCATTCTGAGTAAGTTCCACGGTGGTCGGAGCCGAAATTGTCTTTGTATAGTCCACTTTTGACCAGGAGGGTGGGCGTATCCGTCAGCGTTAGGTCGAGGGTTGACTTTTGCCCGGGCCGATTTAGTGCCCAGAATGTCGGGGTACCGCTAGGCAGGGTCCAAGTGAGGCTTCGCTCGTGGATGAAATTGATCAGTTCTTCTGCATGCACCATTACTCGTTCGTATACATGGTTACTGCTCCATGCTGGGTGGTGGCGGTTAAAATCGCCCGATATAATCAGCGTCGTTACTCTACACGGCCGACGGGTATGTTCTTGTATCGTCGTGTTGATCTTGTCAAGTGTGGGTTGCATGTTTCGTGCGTCTCGGACATGGTGGAGATTGACCGGTTCGACATACACCGAGAAGACGAGCAGTTGCCTCTCTCCACGCCAGATTTTAATCGCGGTGATGTCGGGGTCGTTGCATCGGATTTGTCGGTGTGATGAGGTTGAGATGCGCTTATTGACGTAGATGAGACTGCGAATACGTGTGTTATCGTCGTGAGGGATAGGTTGGTATCGGTACCAGAGGCGGTGGTTGACAAGTGTGCGGTAGGCTGACATAGGGGGTTCCTGTATTAAGAGAATATCGAGGTCTTGTGTTGCGGGATCATTGATCAGTGCTTCCATCCCCGCACGCGATTTCATAATGTTCAGCTGCAGTATGCGAAGATTGGTCTCACTCATTGTCGAGAGTCTCGGTTGGTCGTTCCCTCACATTCTCTCGCTCCGGTAGGGTGAGCGCCGGAGCATTCGAGACACCTCGCCTCGCGTCCTGGCGGGCAATCACGGTGGTCATGCCCGTCACCGCAATGGCGACACCGCTTTGCCTCTTTACAAGACCATGCCAGGTGACCAAATCTGAGACATCGATGGCACCTCTTCCTCTTCATTTGGTACTTCTCCACGCTTTCGATGTATCGTTGTTTGTGCAGGATCCCGTTACTGACGGTCCATTCTGCCGCGTCGGGCGTATCAAACCATAAGCCGAGTGACGCAGAGACTCCCAGTGGCTTATCACTCTGCTTCAGCCACGCGATGTCACTGATAGTAGTGTTCCTCGCTTGCATTTCGTTCTCCTCCATAATTCTGTGAATGACCTCCTGTTTGTTCTCCGGTAGCGAAATACCTTCCGTGGGAAAACGGTGGACCACGACGCCAAATCGTGGCTTGGCCAGTTTTGTGTCATTGCCGAGTTTCTCTAGCCATCCCGTGTTGGTTTCGGCCGTGGTCCAGGAGTGCTCATCTCTGAAGCGAATCACATATCCTGTTTTAGTTGTTCCGACTCCTGCAATCTTGACCTCCTTCGTTGAGTCGGTATTGCTGAGTGCGTCGCGAATGTAGGAATTGGCTGCCTCGATGGGGAGGTATCTCGTGAAGGTCGGGTTCCCCGGGTCGGCGTTCGGTGGCGGGGGTTGGGTACTTATACGGAGACAGTTTCGTTCCTTGAGCGGTTGCTCATTGCTTTCAGTAGTTGAGGCATTAATCGTCGTCTGGCCTGCCCCACTGCCTGCCGCCACCGAAGCCCATGAGCGTGTAGCGGGAAGCGAAGCAGAGTACGCACTCAACTGCCCGCGGAGGGTTCGTATCTCCTCTTGGAGTTCGGTATTTTGTGTCCAGAGTCCCTGTTGCTCTTCTCTGATCGCCACCAATTCGGTCTGAGTGTTCTCGATGATAGTTCCTTGATGTTCAATCGTTTCCTTCAGGTCGCCAACCAATTTGACCAGTGTCTGCAGGGTCGTTTCTCTTTCTTCTTCATCTTCCTCATCTTCATTGCTTTCGATGTCACGAAAGGATAACTGGGTGTCAGGGGCGAGGCGGGTCGATCGGCGGGTCGCAGTGCGGGTGCCCGTTGTCTTCAATTTCTCTCGCACCTTCGCGCTTGGGATGATCTTGCGTCTCCCTCTCGGGGCGAGTTGGAGCTGCGCTGGGGCCGAGGTGTTGGACGCACGTCCTGGAGTTATGGTGATGGTTGACATTGTCGTCGGGCCCTCCCGACGCTAACGCGCGTCCCGCGTCGGGTCCTGCAGGGACTTCTTGGGACGCGTCGCGTGTCCGCCTCTTGCCCTCGGGTTTTACAGTTGTTATGCGTGTACCTTTTGATACCACGTTGTACAGTAATCGTGAGATACAGTAATGTGCGGAACTCTCACGATGTACAGTAATCGATGCCACTGAGTCGTTCCCGAAACTGCCCTCCCCCTTGCAGACATATTGCAACTTTCCGCACAGAAAGCTAGAGAGAAAAGTGGATTGAGCCTTACAATATATGTAATAGTGCTCTCTAAAATATCCTCCAATTATCAATATATCTCCGTACCTTGGCATTATCAGATATCGTATGACTTATTTTAAGAACTTCCGATTAAAACACGCATTGACACAGGCTTACGCCTCGATGACCATCAGCCACCCCTCCACCCTCCAAAAATGCCTGCGCCACATCTGAGCGATCACCCATCAAATTCGTCTAGATGACGTTTCAACGCAGAGTCTGATCTGATCTCGCTGACCATCAAGTTGAACCTGTGATATACACGATGAGCCCGGACCTCAAATTATTAATTGGTGGAGATGGCATCCAGGTTGAGATCATGGTCTTTCATCAAGTCATGATAAAGGCCAGCCCAGTATTTGCGGCAATGCTGAAACCAGATCAGTTCAGGGAAGGCGCACGCTTGACTCAAGACAAGCAGCTTGAATTGCCTCTTCCTGATGACAATGTGGAGGCGATGACGGCTCTTTGCAATATTCTTACCCTGCAGCCATGGAAGGTTCCAACGAGAACCGTTACACCAGATCTGCTTGAGAATATAGCCACCATTGTTGACAAGTATGATTTCACCAGAGCTATTCAACCGTGGCCGGAGATTTGGTTTCAGCAAGAGCACATCCAGACCGAATTAAATAGAGTGGAAGGTCTTCCCATGGATATTCTGCCGAGATGGATACACATATGCTATCACTTAGGTTACTCACGTCACTTCAAGATACTCACGTCGGCGTTGACTACCGGGTTGGGCATCGATAATTTTAACCAGAGCTCAGTTGCCGACAATTTCGCAATGCTTCCTCAGGTTATTGAAGGTGAGTCGCATCGCATCTCATCAAATCTAGGAATGGTTAGCTAGAGATTGTTTTTAATTCAGAGGAAATTCACACCATACAACAACGATGTGCCGACAGATTTCGACGGCTCAGTCTAGACCTAATTGACAGGCTAGAACAAGGGCAATCCTGCAAGGCCATGGAATCGTCAAACTACAATGAGCGCGAAGCTTTTGATTGCTCGTCCGTTCTCCTCGGAAATGCCATCCTCGCTCTAAGAGAGACATTCGGACCTGGCTGGAGGCTCGAGGAAGCGTGGACAGGTAGTCTCACTGAACTATATCAGCAGATGGAGAAGATAGCCAGGAAATTAACTGGCCCATCACGGATTTGTGACTTCTCAGGCTACGGAAGGACGCAAGATCACTGCAGCTGTATAAAGACAACCGACTTGCTGAGTCCAATGAAGCCAATATATGAGCGTGCAGCGACAGGACTACGACTAGAGGAATTGGGCAAAGCTTTCTATCGTGAGATAGTTGAAGTTAATAGTTGAAGTTTAACAAGGCGAATAATATTCAGCCCTCGGGAGCCATCACTTCGATATGTCGCGATTTTCATAATGCAGTTTTATTTGTTTCATAATGCAGTTTTATTTGTCTCATAATTCAAGCAGGGGTAGGTGTTGTATTGATCGTTTTAACACTCAGAACGACACTTGGTCGTCTTCGGGTAGAAATCAGCCCTATATGAGCTTAGTCATTTCTACCTGACCGACTAAGTATCTCTGTCATCGTAGAGACTCCATCAAACGCCGGTGTGGTGATGTGTCACGTCAGCGGGAAAGGAGATACACCAGTCTACTGAGGGAATGGTAGATCTATGAACAGGAGACAGTTGAAAAGGCTTTGACGGGTATCAGAGATATATTTCGAGAGTGGCAGCGCCAAGAGAAAATGTATGCCCTGCTGGGCCCACGGAAGGACATAAGACTACTTGTGCTTTGTCTGCTCTCTCCATCGCTTTCAAGATCTCTTTTCTTTCCTCAATATCATCTTGTGTAATCTTTAGGCCGCACGATGCTTGGAAGTTGGAACGAAGACATAGATTTTGACAGAGCAGACAAACCACCGACACGTGTCTCGATCGCGCCAGGAGTCTTTAGGTATGCTGATTTAAGCGAGTCAGCGAGTCACGCGGTTCTTACATGATTCGTCTTGCCCAATTACTGATCGCCACATTTACCGGGGTAGTCTACCAGGCAATGCCGACCATCATATCATCTGGTATCTGCCTCTTTCAGCACGTTGAAAAAGCTGGACACGACTCAGTACCGGACAGTGGGAAATGCCTCGCAGAAAGTTCTTCTATGCCATCGCAGAATGTCAATTTTTGTCGGAGCCAATTATATTTATTCACTGGCCGTAAACGGCTATACAATCATGTCTCTAAAGCCATCTAACCTGACACAGGGAAAGGGCACAAGCGTGGGTGACTAAATGTCCCGGCGCGAAGTTCAAAGGATTCCAAACTTTGGAAGAAGCCAAACTCTACCTAGAACAACTCGGCTTCCATGACTATTAGATGGATATCGAGCATGATTTAAGCCATCAGAGGCTCAGTCCGACTTCCCCGCACTACTATGCTGTGTCAAAAGGCCGTGAAACAGGCGTATTCACTTCCTACAGGTGAGATTGTACGTTAAAAGCCTTGCAAATCTGCAGAATTAATTTTGGGATTTTCGAAGAGACGGCGCACAGCCTCAAGTACATAAATCCTCCGGCGCATGCCACAAGGCATATGGAACTGAGGAAGCGTGCGCAAAAGCTACGAGACTGTCTCAGTAATGAGTGGGAGTCTCGTGAAAAGCAGGAAGAGATTTGGAATCTGATGAAGGTCCTGCATCACTAAGTTCAAAGGACCTGATACTGTCCCTGGAGCTTTGGTTGCCTCATCTTTGAATTGTTGACAAGGGTGTCGTTATTTTCAGTTATGGTGCTCTTTGAAGACGACTGAAAGACGACTGATGACGAACATCTCCTCCAGATGAACGACATTCTAGAGCCTCTTCCAGATATCTGGTTCGAAGAAACTTGGCCGCGAGCTAAAATCTATTTCGGCCCTGGACGGCAAAGGCTAGGCCCATGTTCCGACGACCAAGAGGGAACCCATATCGACCCTTTAGAGGTGCGATTGAAGGAGCATAAGCCGAATGATATCGATGATATGGAAGCAGACATCATTACGTCCCTCATTCGACGTATTCTGAAGTATGATCCACGCCTGCGGAGGAACTTTTAAAGCGCCCTTGGTTTCAAGATTGACACTGTCGTCTTCCGAGTCCGGATTCACCTCATGCCTCTATGAAACACAGGGACAGACTGTTGCAGTGTACTGAAGGTCATGGAAGCACCTATCGCCGATACACAGCGCTCGGTAGCTGCGAAAGCTTCCGCATAGTGTTTTCGTACGGCGCAATCGCTTACACATACAAAAGCTATCGTCGTCGCAAACAGGCTTACCTGTGGTCTCCCCATGTCCTCAGTTCTATCTTCTTCGCACGGGAATAATCTCATTGTGTCAAGACCGATATGGAGATCCTCGTACAAATTAGCACAACATACCTTTTGACATTCTATCTCCGGGTCGAGCAAAAGCCATAAGGGCACGGTGTTCGCGACTTAATCAAGATCGCCCAAGTGGGCAAGTTTTCGATTGACAATACCCGCGATGATGAGGACTCAGTAGATGAACAATGACCTATGAAGCTATCCTATACACATGTACACTCCATAATGACCTCTCTCTTGCTGCCGTACCTAGGCTTGCCATGCTGCCGACCATACTCATCTTATAGGCCGCTGCTCTGTGATCCTCTGTGAGGTTGGGAGGCGGTTTTTCCAATTGATGGTTACATGACAGAAAACTGCGTCTGCCTGGTCTAGATCACGAATAGGTGAAGATGTCCTGGAGCGGCAGCGAGGAACTTGGTCCGAACGTTCTAGGAAGGGGTCTTGGCCCTCTGAAAAGACCCACCCTATGGTATGTTTATAGTATTGACCATGTCGTTCTCCCGTCTACAGCACAAACGATCAACCCAAGTACCTTCACATCTGACTCAACAGATTCATACCGAAAAATCCTCTTGTTCTCCAAACTCCGCAGCATTGCACAATCTGGAGTCGAGATGTACGACTGGTCACGGAAAAACCTGTCAGCTCAGTATCACTGTTACGCTGAAGAATGTTAGTTTCGAAACCGACCGTTGAAGAGGCCTTGACCAGAACGGCCTCAGGGTTGAGAGTACTCGACCTCGACGAGTGACAATTGCAGGAATGTCGTGTAAGAGGTATGTTGTAGTGACTACTCCCAGCTATATAAGTTTGACTCTGGAATACCACCATCATCTGCTGAACGATCGGTTGCTTGAACCAGTCTGTTGGCGATTGCGGCGGTGCTAACTCTCTAGGGCACAGTTCCGATTGCTATGCTATCTATACACGGTTGCAACTCCCCCAGGACGAATCTTTCCTGGGTAAACCTTTGGATCGGCTATTCACATGGGTCTACCGCTCAATAGGTCATGTTGATCATGATGGTCTTTGGCTCGGTAAACGCCTGCAACGCCGCCCGTCCACACTCGCGCCCCAGGCCACTCTGCTTGCTGCCTCCAAACGGCGCGTTGAGGAACGTCAAGCTCACACAGTTGACGCCGACCATGCCCGAGTCGAAAACACTGGCAACCCGGAGAGCTTTGTTGATGTCTTGGGTGAAGACGCCCGCCATGAGACCATATTCGACGTCGTTCGCCTTCTGGAGGACCTCTTCTTCGGTCTTGAACGAGTTGAGCACCGACACCGGGCCGAAAATCTCTTGCGTGTAGATTTCGGCATCGCGAGCCACGTTTGTGAAGACGGTCGGCTCGACGAAGAAACCTTTGCCCTCCTTCTTCTGGCCACCGACCAAGAGCTGACCTTGGTGAGCACCGCGCTCGATGAATCCATTCACACGATCAAATTGGATCTTGTCGACAACAGGACCCATGACCGTTCCGTCCAAATCTGGATCCCCCATCGTCTTCGATCTGTCCTGTAGTGCTTCCTTGTACTTTTGTGCGAACTTGTCGAAGATCCCTTCCTGGACATATACTCGCGTCGCGGCAAAGCAAACCTACAGTCAGGGGTTAGCGAAGATTGGGTGCCATCAGGGGACGATAATCACACCTGTCCAGTGTTTGCGGCGAGCGCATTGACACACCACGTAACTGCATTGTCAAGATCGCAATCATCGAAAACGACTGCTGGGGACTTTCCGCCCAGCTCCAGGGTCACTCTCTTCAGGTTTGAGTTGGCCGCCATGGCTTGGATCTTCTTGCCCGTGGGTATCGAGCCCGTAAAGCTCACTTTGCGAATGCGCATGTGGCTGGCGATGAGGGCTCCAGTACTGCCATCCCCGGAAAGGACCTGAAAGACACCTGGGGGAAAACCAGCTTGTTCAATCAATGGACCGAGAGCCAGTGCTGCAAACGGCGTCTTTTCTGAAGGCTTGAGAATGAAACAGTTGCCCGTTGCGAGGGCCGGAGCAGCCTTGAGACCGACCGTGCCGAGAGGGCCATTCCAAGGGACGATGCCAGCCGTGACACCGATTGGCTCATTTCGAGTGATTTGCATGAAGCCGTTCTCTTGGGGAAAAGCCTCTCCCGCGAACTTGTCGATCCAGCCGGCGTTGTACCTGAATGCTTCGGCCGCCAGACCAATTTCAAACTTCCCAAACGAGCCAAACGGGGCGCCCAGCGTGATACGCGTCAACTCGGCCAGTGGCTTCATATGCAGCTCCAGGAGGTAGGCAAATCTATTCAGAATGTTGCGTCGTTCGGTGGCCGTCACTTTCTTCCAGGCTGGGAAGGCTGCCTCGGCGGCGGCGACGGCAGCGTCGACATCACGTTCGTCGGCGAGGGAGACTTGATCCGATACCAACGTTCCATCTTTGGGGTTGTAGACTGACAAAGTCTTCCCACTCCTGGAACTCTTGTATTCATTGTTGATGTAGAGTTGTGTGGGCAGCTTCCCAACGGAGTAGGGGAGCGATGTGCTGTGGGAGGTGTGGACGCCCATCTTGCTCAGTGCTCACTCGTTGTCTTGAGCTGCGAACTGCGATTCCACCGCCTTATCAGGTATCAAGTATCAAGGTACTTGTTTGCGAGGGACCAAGCAACGAGTAAAGTACTAGTCAGGTAGACAACGGCCTGATCTTCGGCCCGGGATCGGTAGGTCTTATCTTATCAGGACGATTAGGACAGATCCGAGTTCCAGGTTAATGGCCTGTTCCGCGGCTATGAGCCCAGGCCCCTGACAATGGACATGGCCGCGGCTATTGGACGGTCCGGTACTCAGTCCGGCCTTGTAGCCCCAGCTTATTCCTCTGTCTAGTCCCCCACATCTCTGTGACCGCCCGCATCTGCGGGGTGCATTGGGCAGGTATTGGGCCTGGGGAGATTCCCAGCACCCCCTAGTCTGCCGCCGTGGATCTTAGTATCGTCGTTGCAAGCGGGAGAGGTTTTCGTTAAGCGAGGCTGTGCCACTCGCCTCCTTCGTCGTATCTATGGGGATAAAAGCCCGGCTTTCCCTGCTCACGCATACCTGTAGGCTGACAATCTCGCCTTCGACAGTACATAGAGCTTGAACTCGATTTGTCTGCTTGACATTGGCACCATGTCGTCCGAGAAGGCAAGCGTCGGTGGGACGTCCACGCACGTCGTCGACGACAATCGCCTCCAACCCATCGAGACCACCGACGATGTGGCTCCAGAAATCATCGGTATGAACATGCTCGCCCTCGCCCTCGAGACATACTATACATGATACTGACACCTGAGACAAGGCGGCCAGATGGCCAACCTCCCACCGGGCTACTACACCAGCGCCAACTTCATCGGCACCGTGGCGGCTTACAGTCTGGCCAACATGTCCAATTACGCCGGCTACGTCATGACATTCAACCTCCTCTCCATCATCAACCAGGACCTGGGCCCGGACCCCAACTACGTGTGGATCGCCACGGGCTACACGTTGGCGGGGACCACCGGCGCCATGCTCTGGGGCCGATTGAGCGACGTGTTCGGCCGGCGGTGGTTTTTCATCGGCGGCAACTGCTCCGCCCTGCTGGGGAGCATCTTGGGGGCAGCGGCGCCCAACATTGTGACCTTGATCTTTGCCCAAGTCTTCATCGGCCTGGCCTTGCCCTCGCAGCTGAGCTTTTCCATCGGACTGGCGGAGCTGATCCCCAACAAGTGGCGTGGGTACAACAACGCACTCTTGTTCTTCATGGCGGTGCCGTTCTCGACTTTTGGGCCCATCATTGCCCGCAACTTCCTTCTCAACACCAGTA